GAATTCCTTCAATGAAAGAGGCAAAGTAGTTGTGAAAGATTCAACTGACAAGAATGTATGGTATTTTTAAATTTGGTGAAGCTTGGTCAATGAAAATATTAAACTTATGCAAATTTGTGACTCAAAACAGCAACTGTTTTTTTATTCTTAATTTAGGAAAAAAAAAAGTTCATTTTCGATTTGACCTGTTCTAGAACTTCTTCCCATTGCAATTTCGTGTACTCCAAAAGTCCAAACTTTATGTTTGTTTGTTTAATTTAGTTAAAGGGATTTGTCGTTACGTTCATTTCTTCACCACCATCCAAAAACCGATACACTTTACCATTTTTCTTAACCATTTTCACTCCCACCAATAATAAAGTGCTTTTCAGATTATTGCCGGTCTTTTTGACTCAGCCGGTTAACCAAGAAACGGTAATTAAGATTTGCCTCTAATTAACCGGTCACTAGTTCTGCTCTCACTTACTTTTTATTCTCTTTTTTTTTTTCTTTTTAGTAAAACAGTTACTTTTTATTCTTTGTAGTTTTGATTAATGTAAAATGCCAGATTAAAATTGTGATTGAAAGATATGAGATAAAAATGAAAATGAAATGATCAAAATAGTCATTTATAAATTTATAAGGACTGAGATTGACGTAAATGAACAAAAGTTGAAATATAGGGACTAAAATAGATGTTTTAAATGTACATGAACCTAAACGAACAAAATCGAAAATTAAAATAGTATTTAAATAAAATATTTTTTGAATAAAAAACCAAACATAATAGTATTTGTTATTAAAATATTTATAATATGTATTTTTTAAAATACTCCCCAGCATACCTTTATATTATATTCTCAAATCACTCAGACAAAAAGGCTTGACATAACTTTTGGAGGAGCTAAAAATGATTTAGAGATAGTGAAATATTAAAAATAATTATTTTCTAATTTTTCAAGGTGTTTGGTTTTAGAATTATAAATCCTTTTAGAAGTGGTAAAAKTATTTTAGAAGTACTTTTAGGAATTCTATGAATACGCTTGGTATGGATTTTATGAGAGTAAGGAAAAAAAAAAGTAATTTTATCTATTTAAAAATATATTATAAAAAGTTTTATGGCGTTTAGTTACAAAAGTCAAATTTGATTTTGAAAAATGGTTTCCTTTTAGCGGAAGTTAATTGATTTTTGGGAGATGAGGTTGATTTTGATAGATATACTTTTAAAAAGTGGTTATTTTGATTTTTATTTATAAAATTTACGTAATTTAATAAAAAAAAATTTCATACAAATATATGGTTACATTTCAAGAAATTTAAAACATGAAATGTCATTCTAAAGTTTTGATCGAAAGAAATGAGTACAAAGACCAAAAACGAATGTTTTGAAATACAAAGGTTAAAATAAACAAAAATCGAAAGTATATAAAAGAAAATGAATGTTTTGAAAATACAAGAATTAAAATAAACTAATTTGGTACTGGGACCAGAAAAGTATTTATAACAAAAAAAAAAAAGGTGAATTTAGTATTATTCATCCCACTCAACAAAATCATCATATACTTTAAAATATTTTAGAAACTATCTTATTTTATTATTTAAAATAGCCATAAACTCACACAAAAGAAACCTATAAAGTGAAAGCTTTGTTTATATAATAGGTCCACTACTAGTAATGGGGCATTTCAATCATATGGGAAAACTTAAAATCAACTTTATTTAATTTTTCATTAATTTATTTTATTAAATTTGATCACATTTTAAATGTATTGCTTCATTCACTTTTTAAAATTCTGATAGTGATAAATAACAAGTGAGTTTTGAATTTTTATTAAAAAGTAGATTCATAATATAAAGAATGAGTATATATCTAAATTGCCAATTTGAACATAGTTTTACTCATTAAAAAAAAGTATATTTGAGATTAAAAAAAATATCTTTGACCAAAAGTCGGATATTGTTGAACTAAAAAGATACATAGTAACAAAATGCTTAGATTTATTAACAAAATTGGAAACCAGAGATAACAAACAGAAACATTACCAAATGAATTGTCACTCACACATTGTTGAACTAAAAAGATACATCTCTTAGGTGCATGCCACCTCCCAACTTGGCTTGAGTCCACCCGGCAAACTGCATTTCAACCAATCGACTCATCAGTCTCTCCCAACATTGGGGATGAGAACCCATGATTTGATCTGCTAGCTTGAATGCCTGGATCATGTCCAGAAGAGAAAGTGAAGAAAAGATTGTTGGAACCAATAGGAGGAGTATTTCAGAGTCCATCCTCGCCTTTATTGAGAAGTTAGAAGGAAGAGATATAAAGGTGGGACATCCATCGTAGCTGTGATGACGTAGTTGAGTGTTCATTTGATCCACCACCCAAGGCAAGGCCGATCAAATCGAGACGTTTTTGGGTTCGATCTAACAAGCAATCCATGAGTGCCTAATCAAATTGATCGGGTCATATAGGAACAAGGTTCAAGTCTATCGGTCTATTAGGATGCCTCAGCTACATACATCACTACACTTCCACTTGACACATATCGTGATGATAAACGACTAATCTCGCTGTGACCTTCTCTTGAATTTTCAAAACTTCTGACGCTCCATCCCCACGAGGCAAAGAACAGACCATTTCAATAGTATGGGTGCTGTTGTGCCACAAGGCACGACCATGAAAGTAATGAAAAAGAAAAAGTTATTTAGTTGGACCATCTGCTCGAGATGTTCGAGTTTCGCTTCTCTAGAGAAGATGAGACGCTAAAAATGAAAGTGTTCGGAACGCATACCGAAAAGATACCAATGAAGCCGACCATTAATGACTAGTTCGAAGACCAGGAGCGGTCTGATCAAATAAGGGGTCAGACCGCTCTTAGAAAATGAAAGAAAAGCAAACTCTCATAGTTCAGAACCCAGCTCCAACTACTTCTTCCTAAATGAAGTGAGGTACTTCTTTGGATTTGAAAAGTGGTTGCCTTTTTTTGGTTGAAGTAGCAACTACTTTG